TTCGAAATAAATTGTCAATTTTTTTAATGCCTTTAGGTGAGCTGATAATGCAATGGCCATGCCTTCCTAGTGTACTAACTGAAGAGGCAAGTACTTGAAAAGACAGAAAAAATTGGCCATTGTTGTGTACTATTCATCTAAAAAATTCAACAGTTGAGGGTAGATACTAGCCAGATTATTATCGATACACAAATGCACACACAGTGATATATGTGACTAGCTTTTGTCAATCTTGGTTGGTGGTGAAAAAAATCAGTGATAATAATAAAAATGTAACTGTTTTTAAAAAACATACCTCTCTCTCATACCAATCAGCACCACGGAAAACCGGACATATAGACTCCATTGGTGTGATTTCATCTGTGTATGTCTTCACTCGTATGCGTGTATTAAACCGTAATGAGAGAAGGTTATAGACAATCTGTAATATATACAAAAATAATCAAAATCAGAAATTCTGAAAAAATAAAGCAGTTCTAGAGCCATTACTCTTGTGCAAATATAACAAATATAAGCACGTTTTTAACATAATATCACTAGGATTGCAAGATTTTTGATGAAAAATTTATTTCACTTAATTGTATTATTATTATAATACAAATTTGGCAAAACTAAAAACTAAAAACAGCCCAGTCAATCAAATAATTTTCTAGAATAATATTGTCAAATAATAATATCTGTACATGTAATTAAAGAATGTATCCAAAAATGAAATTGTGTACATCCAAAACAATACCTTGGGTTAAAGATGTGCAACTCAAGTTTATAATACAAAACATTATAATGTTGTATGTTCCCCTTGCACTCCCCCCTTCATATAAAATATTGACAAATGATGTAATTGCCAATTTTTTACCAATCAGAGAAAAGACCTACTAGTAATATAATCAATCAGTCAACAGTGACGAAATTGGATGACAGCGTTTTTTTAACTATTGATGTCATCTTGGAGGACATTGTTATTTTGGTAATAACTTATATATACTTAAACACTTCTTGAGTTTCATTTATTTTCATTTATCAGCAGATCCCAGAAAAGTTGAATCCATCTCGGCCAAAGCCAGTAATTGTAAAACACATACCTCAAACCTATATTGTCTAGAGGGCACATCCACAGCGCATAAATCTGATATATTAGTAAACTGTGCATTTGTGTGGTCCTTAAGAAACGCCATGGTAACCACCACCCCTTCAGGATGAATCAGGACTTCCAGTTCTCCCCCATCTGTGATCTGAACTTTCTGTACAAATTTGGGCAGATTTTCTGCAACATAGTTCCCAAACTGAAGTAGCTCCTCCTTGCGTGCATCATCTCTCTTCAGAATAGTTGCTGCAGTTATATAAAAATAAATATTATATATGTATTATAATAATCATACAAGTGGTAGCTAAACTTTAGCCAAATGATTTTCATGTTCTCTTTCTCTGAAATATTCGATGAACCCCTAGTTTCAGAACTGAAGTTGGGGAGTTTCTTTATCTTAAATTGTCCAAGCATGCCAATTTGTCACGTCTTACCCATAGCAGACTTTGATTCAGGTTCACTTCACCAATCACAAATAAAAGCTGAGCCTTTTCACTGTCATCAAACTACAACTTTTGCCTGGACTACAACATAGATCTTATTAACACCAAAAGCTCAGGGTACGCCATTTTTTTTTTTAATTTTTCATTTAAAGCAAGAGGGCACCCTTGATGACTCACAGCCAAAAGAACAAGAGTAATATCTACTATAGGAATATTTTATTTGTTAAAAGCACCAATGCTTCTAAAGAAACCCGTTTATATGATTTATGCAACAAATGGGCTACAAAGAAAAAAGTAACAGTTGGACTACTAATACAGCAAAATACAGTTATCTTTGCTGGACTAGTAAAATGTTTTAAAAATTAAACCATTTTCTTTTAATCAAAACATTATGGTACTGCTAAATCAAATAATTTCCATATGATTTCATAATAATTTCATGCCCTGAAGAGACACATGGTAATGATATATTTAAATAATAAACAATAATATTGGATCTCATGCAATGAGAACTATCATAACAAATACTCACTCTGCACTGCATCATGGCTAGCAAATCTACACATCATTGGGAGAGTTCTTGGTCTTAAACAGCTGATAATACCTGGAATATGAAATATGCAGAACTTAATATATATATACAGTAGGACACATACTGTCGATGCGGAGTGATATAACGTCGTTTTCTCGCGCCAGGACGTAACGTCGGGCTCAAATTTTGTAAAAAATTAAACTTGGTCGAAAAATGGCTATATACTTTAAATAAANACTTCAAACGATTAACCTCAATCATACCAGGCTCAGTTGGGCTAGAAAGGGGTAAGGGAAACATAATAGTCTAATAGATGCTGGTTAGTAGCAGGTTCAACATCATTAAATAAACTAGAGCATTGAAAATTTAGCTTACAATGTGACCGATTTTTGACACCGGTTCTGTGCAAGTACATGGGAAATTATATCCTTGCCCAAAGCGCAATTGAGTAACTGTCACAGCAACCGATCTTGATTGATATCAAAGGCACCTTCTGAGTTGGGCGGCAAGTAAATCTCAACAGGGCTTTATCGCTTATTTTGAAGATGGTTGTCAGATTATCAGTAGCAAGTGTCGAAATTATTCTAGCCTTGGCAGTGTATTTGAGACCAAGAGAAAGTAACAATTTGCATAGACAAAGTTTTTGCAAATTCTGTAAGGTTTAACTTACCATGTTGTCGCAGAATATTCACTCCAATAGGCATCAATGCTCTCCTCACACAAGACGCCATATTGGATGCACCTCTCTCGTTGACAATTCTCGTTTAAGTGCGGCCATAATTTTAGCTAAGGCTTAAAATAAGAAATAAAAAGAATAGATTGCTTTATATTTTGAACTATTATATACCATGGGCTTAGAATAAAAGAAAACCTTTATCATTTACTAAAATCCTAGCGTCCTTGACCTCGTTTAAAGAACTAGGTCATAACATGGATTCATGTGTGGAATCAACCGGCGACACTTCCACTTCAAGAAATGTGATATCAGTTATATGACCACAAATGATAAAACGTAATAGAATATGTTATTTAAATGTTTTTGATACTGATTTACTGAAAGCAGTACAATTTAAGCTATTGTCTAGGGGGTTCGTATTTAGCAGAAATGGACTACCAAACTCTTAGCACAAATGGACTACCAAACTCAGAAACTTTAGAAAAAAGAATGCATTGAAGTTATAATACTGCACTAAAATGGCAGAAGGGAGACAAAAGAGTGAAACCAAGACGGACGACGGGCGTGATAGTAACAGGGAGGAGGAGACGTCAAAGGACACAAGCCCCAAGACCCCAGTCAAAGAGAGAGGCCACATGTTGTATTCCTTCCTTACTGGACAGTACATGCCCATTCCTGAGAAAGATTGGGTTTGTAAATAAATTGTATATTTTCAGGCTTCCTGCATAATTTTAAAAAAGAAATATCTGTCTGATTTTAATGAGATAAACTTTGTAGTTAGTTAACATATAGACTTACAGACTCTTTGCATTTGTCCTGTTTCCTTCTCGGAGAATGTAGGTTGCAGAAAAGATATTGCTGTTTTCACATGAACATTGTTTATTCTTTCTTAAGCATGTACACTGTAGAACTGTTTTTGAACTTGACTTCTAGTCCAGTAATAAATAAAGTAATTATAATAAGACATGTTAAATATCTTTTTAAAAGAATTGATAATATTTTGATTTTAAAGAGGAAAAATAGATAAATATACATAACATATTTACAGTCTGTATACCTTTTTGTAAATACTGGTATATCTATACATAGAATTATATTTGATACATAATCCTTTCAGCTTGGAAGATGCAGAAAAGTTACAGAGTTTGAGAAGTTGAACAGAGTGGGAGAGGGAACCTATGGAATTGTCTGTGAGCAAGTTTATTGTAAAATTGTTTTTATTTTGTCAAGATAAGGTACGTGATGATGAGTAACATAGTTTTGGTGTCACCAATCACATAAGCATGCCAAATTGATATTCATACATGTAGTATTTATATTTTAAATAATGTCAAAATATGGAATGTGTTCATGTTGAAACTGATTTTGAGATCAATCTTTTTCCTTTCAGATAGAGCACGTGATATGAAAACAAATGAAATTGTAGCCCTGAAAATGATGAGGATGGAAAGAGAAAAAGATGGTTTGTATGAACATAATTTTATAATATCTCAGATGCTAGGAACAGTAAGTCTGACCAATAATAAGAGTTTGTTGTCTGTAGACTATTCTGAATACTTGAATAATTTCTTAGATGGTGCACTAATTCTGACAAATCATTACAGTTTGTTGCCTGTATACTAAGTACTCTGAATCCAGCATGTGATATGGGATGATACTATCTTATTGTTGCTTGAGGTACCTGTATTATATGTGAGATATATTTGGTAGATGAAAAGAGGTCAAAACATTTTTAGTAGAGAAAGCAATCTGGGATGCAATAAAATTTTTGTCACTTAATGTGTCAGCTATTTGATGAATGTGTACTTCCATTGAGTTTTTGGAACTATGATTTTTGTACTGATGGTCAGATGAATGGTACAAAATTTGTTGATTCAAAATTTGAGGAGAAAAGCCATATCACGAAGTGATTTTTAAAAAATGAAATGAATATATTAATATCTGTTCTATTTTGTCATCCATTTAATGCAGCATTTTCTTAATGTGTTATTTTGAATATTTCAGGTATACCAATTAGTGGACTCCGAGAGATCAATATTCTACTAAATTTACATCATGAAAACATTGTTACATCAACAGAAGTTGTGGTGGGGAAAAGCTTGGACAGGTACACTATCAAATAGTACTGTAATATAAATTATTATTCATGTAGAATTCACACTAGTTAAAATTTGTAGGTGAATTGGGAATAACAAAAAATAAGAAAAACAAAAATGATTGTTTGTTTGATTATGTTTTGAAAGTAATGAGTATTTTAAAATTAATGTTTTTTTTACATTTAAAAAATCTTTCCAAGTATTTAAAAAATTAAAGTCATCGTTTCTTTTGACCCCTACATCTGTTATCTTTTTGAAATTCATGACATGTTTTTCAAAAAAAATATTTATTCATATTTATTGATGGTACTGGTGTTGATTTTATATTTTTCAGAATGTGGATATGGGCATTTTTACAATCCTGGGCACTTTTCAGATTTTCCCACATATTGCTAATTAACAAATTACATACATATGATCAAAGAATTCTTTTATCACTATGTTAGAGAATGGTGTAAGTGAAGATAAACACTGAAAATAGAAACCAAATATCACCACAGAGTCCAAAGTTATGCTAAAGCAAAGCCCGAAAAATGACCAAAAATTTTTCCCATTTTAGTCATATAAAATAAAAAGCAATCTGAAATAAATTAAAACAGTGTTTGACATTGCATTTTTTTGGATTATAAAACACTCAGTAGTATGGTGGAAGCAAAAAAGTTTAAATATTAACAGGAGAGAGGTGTATCCTAGAAAAAAAGTCTTTTAATGGCATGCTGGTATTTCCGTTATACGAAATGTCCATTCCGAAACAAAAATAAATTACTTTCAGAAAATATATCATAAAACATACAGTATAATTAACCATTCTAATCATTATTTGGATGTATTGGTATTGTTTGTATCAAATAATGAAATCTGCGCGATGATTCTGGAGCTTGACATGGAGTGCAAAATAACCCTACCATATTTTTCCGTTAAATTTGTCCATTCCGAAACATTGGGTTTCTCTTACATAAAAAGAACATGCTGACACCTAGCCTGTAACAATATATATTTCTCTAAAGCCCAGGACATATGATATTTATTTTTATATAAGAAAACCCCAGTGCACAGAAACACATTTAACTGTGGCCTTTTTTGAGATGCTTGTTAAAAATTGTCCATTCCGAAACAAAGTACCTTTACATTGCCAATGTTATAAATAGAGAAATTTCTGTCTTTCATGCTGTATGTTTCACTTGACATGAGCAAATTACTGTAAAAGCATCATGCATATGACATAAAAATAATAGAAAAACATTTCTTCAATGGCAACTTTTTAAATTTCTATATATATCCTCAACAAAAAAATTCATTTTTGCGAGACAGCATCTTTTCTTTAGATCTACTAGAACTTCCATTGCATATTTTCCCAAAGTTCATATATTTCAAAGTTAAATTAACAATTAATTGAAGAGATTATATCAGTATAAATAGAAATATAGGCAATTTGGATGCTTTGTATCGGAAAGGACATTTTTTAACACATTGTCTAAAACACTTGTTTACTCTTTGGTCTGCTCATCTTTTTATTATTCATGAGGAAGAGGATAATGGGAAGCACATCAAATTTATGTAGAATATAATTTTGAATAATATAGCTTACCTTACTTTAAATATTGCTTACTTATGATGTACATAAAAGTATA